CCGAGGCCACGGCTTAAAAGTGTTTACACCAACGTTTTGGCGCTAGAAGGACGGCCACACCTGCACGGCCCTCCCGCCTGCATCGTGCCCCTCGGCTTCATGTTGCCCGAAGTCACACCTGCGCAGCCCGCCCGCCTGCGTCGTGCCCCTCGGCTTCATGTTGCCTGAAGTCACCCCTGCGCGGCCCGGAGTCCAGCTCCTTGGCCCTGAGTCAGCTCCTCGGCCACTCACCACCCAATGCCACCGTCACACATCCAATTCTCTCCAAATCGTCGAATTTCACAATTCCCGCGACCCTCGCGGGAACGGCCCTGCCCGGCTGTTATAGCCCCTTAAAACCCAGGCCACGCTTCGGACCCCCCTACGGCGACCGACGCATAACCTCCTTTGGGGGGGAGTATGATAGGGGTAATAATTATGACAAGACTCCCGTGACATCAGTTGACGCCCCACGCCTCTGACAGGCTGACAATGCCTGGCCAGCATGGGCCAAAACGCTAACCGAGGCCCATTAACGACCGCTCAGGCTCGCCTCCTCACGACACGCCAACAGTAATGGCAGACGCCATCAGAGGTACGACCCTGCTCCCTGCGGGCAAGCGCTCCAAGTAACACTAAGCTCTCGTATAAATACCCCCGTGTTCTAAGCAAAAGGAAAAAAAAAAGAAAGATCACCTCACTCCACATCACTAACTTGATCGTCGGAGGGGTCGGGCCGAACTTCCGACCCGACTTGTGTGTAGGAACCGAGACGAGGCGCCATCTCACCAGGCGCACAGGTGAAGAGCTCTCCGGAGAAGTCTGGGTGATTCCCCGACATTCAGACCCGAACCGAGCTACGTCGGCCCCGAGGCCACGGCTTAAAAGTGTTTACACCAACAATATCGATGCCCTTTTTTTTTTCCTCTTGAGAATATAGTTTGTCAACTCTATGTTCATCACTAAAGATGAACTATAATGGGTTGCCTCACCCTTTAATTTACCAAGATTATGCACCCTATTTTTGGCGATTTCAACTGCATACTAATTTGTTTCGTTTAGAAAATATTTATTTATTTATTTTGCTCGATTCACAAGAGAGAGTTGTCTCTTCAATAGCAAGTTAGCCATCCTCGGTTTATCATGCAATTCCACACGTGATAGAGCACAATTTGATAACATGCCCTCTAATAACCGCTCATAACCATATCAGTGCAAGAATTAAAGTCAATATGACGAACCACATCGACACCATGCCCCTCGGGTATAACGGTGCTAATCGAGTATGACGCTGCCCTGCAAAGATCGAGACGACGTCGACCGAGTACAACATCGCCCCGTCGGATCGGGACAGTGTCAGATTGAGTACAACGCTGGCCCGTCGGATCGGGACGATGCCGATCAAATACAACATCGTCTCGCCGAATCGGGACGGCGCCGGTCGAGTGCGACATCACCGTTCGACGCCGAGGCACAAAGGACGATCGATGTTCGCACGAGAAGTGAGTTCACCGCTTAAAGGGTCGGCGGTCATAAATGTGTTAGGTGCAGTTGGTCCCCATGCGCAAGGTATAAAAACCTATCGTCGGGCCAGCGCTAAAGGGGGATTTTCTCGTTTTCACTCAACTCTAACTAAATCTTTTTAGGGATCGAGTTGGGAAATCTCTTTCCTAACCTCGACCTGTATGTAGGAGCTAGACGACTAATCAAAGGAGAACCCTCGCATTCCGGAAGCGAGGTTCGAGCTCGACCCAATCGGACGATGATTTTTGCTGCCTAAGTATCCACGTGGGCGATCTTGCATATCCAGGACAAGACCGAACCGTGCTAATACCCTAGCCACGGTGTAAAGGTTCATAAGTGCTTGCATACGAACAGTAGTAGTAATTTAAATTCTTTTATCTGAGCCTATCGGTCGTTTCGGTCGGCTGTGCAGTAAAATAATGCTCCTGAGATTGAATATTACATCAATTAATCACTGCTTCTCATGCATGATTTCGTTCCGTACGACGAAGAATAGAAGCAAAGTTGATGCTCGTATCACCTTCTTTGAATCCGAGCCTACCTCCACTGTGTCTGTAATAGATGATGATGATGACGATGATGATGATGATATATTACCTTTCATGGTCACATGGATGAGGAGAGTAAAAGGCCTGTTAGATCTTCCAAAATCACAGTAAACATATTTTATTGTGGGATTAGGACAGCCATTCGCCATTATTGTGCTTGACATGAGCGTTTCTTTGATGATCTGCTCATCTAAAATATGGCCTGCTCCCATTGCGCGAGGCACGGAAGCAACCAGCTGGAAGATTACAGTGCATTAATCTATTAGATTCTGCGTTGCTACATGCGGTATCACATTCGCAAGCAAACCATCTCTTTCGTTGCCTATAGTGGTAACAGTATCTTGTGTTCCCAATCTGCTTACACAATGGGAAGAAAGGAAGGGGCTGAAAGAAGATTTACATCTGTGAGCAGATCTCAGTTATGATTATACTATAAGATCGTATTCCGATAAAGAAATATTTCAACGAGACTGATGTCATCAAGAGGTAAAAGGCTGAGAAGTCGACACGTTCCCAGGTGTCTGCCACGTCATCCTCCAATGCTTGTCAACGAGGACGACGGCTTCGGTTTGCTGCCATCTCTTTTGTGCTGTGCAGGCAGCAAATGATTGGCTTGAAGATGAGGACAGTCAATGTTTTTTGGCCGTTTCTTTTCCCGTCAAAGTTAGATCTCATGCACGCAGAGGGCGATGGTCAAGAGGAAGCACCTCACGAGGTGTAACACATTGGACGCAGTAGTGGAAGCTGGAGAGAGAGAGAGAGAGAGAGAGAGAGAGAGAGAGAG